TAGTTCGGCTTACAAGTTCAACGGGAATGAAATCGAAGCACTCAAGCTCCATCCGACCGAAAGGGTCTGAGATACTACGAGGCCATCCAGCGCTAGACATTAACAATCAACAGGCCAGAATCGGATTCAAAGTGCGGACCTTCGGGTTGCGTCTTAACCGGCGAGCTGTTTCAAACCTAATTCCAATGTACAGAAAACAAATCACCAACGAGTGATATAAGGATATGCCAACTATGCCGAAACGGTCGAATTTCCTATGGCTACGTGATCAGCATACCAGGACGTTACAAGCAATAACGTAATCAAGCAGGACAATGATATGTAGTCAGAGCAGACATAGCTCTTACTGTGTGCAGAGCATAAAACGAGAGAAGCTAGCAGATTCTACATAGAAGATTCCAAGTACAGAATAGCAAGGTTAGTAATACCAATATGTATAATAACACTCACAGGAAGAGTGTAAACATGCGGCAATCGGACGAAGACGGAGCAATATCATCTCGTTGCCTCCGTAATCACACAGTAATAGTGGCGAGGACTAGGTGTATGGTAAATGAACCTCTGGCAAGCATTCACGGTCATGTTAGCCAAATCTCCGCAGCCTACAATATTCGAGCAAGCATCGTCGAATTTAAGGAAAAACTAGAGAACACGTGAGACGTAGCTAACCGACAAATGGGAAAAGAACCGCAGTGAGCCAATCAACATGGTACGTGCAGATTCAAATTGTTTTCGTGGCCATGATAACAATAAGATTTGTTGGATGGTAGGCTGATAGAAATCACTACCAAAACTTGCCTGAGTACTAGAGGGGTCTGAACTGTAAGAACAACGAAATAAACAATGAATAATGGACAACAGCTGATCCAAAATCAAACGGTCTAAACGTTTGACACGAGGTGTGGTGAAAAAAAACACGGCAAACCATGTTGAGTCCCTAGAATCTGATGCATCTTTGAAACTAGCCTATTCCTGTCAGAATGGGACGGTCGCGACCATATTTCAAACCGCCATGTGACCGTTCAAATAGTCACGTGAACACGCTGAAGACAATACGGAAACTCATGTTGGCAGGATTGATTGGTGTTTGCAGGACCTTCTAGTTAGGAGCATGAATATAGGTAGATTTCACTTAGCTTAGGAACGCCCTTTGAATTAGCGCATGGAGATATGATATGACGACGAGATGAAATGTGTGCATGGCAAGGGTCGTTTATGCTCACTGATAGAACATACAATGGTTCTAGTGGTGACTCAAAACCGGACGGTCACTGACTACCACAAGTATGATGACCACGTGTTTTAATGAGTACGACCGAAGCATATGCGTTATCTGAATAGTCGTGCATCAGAGCAACTGAATGACTATGGGGTTTTGAGTCCAGACTGTGACATAAGCTGTGTGGGTCAAACTACGATTGATGGTGTCCCGACAAGTCACCGGATGACTGAAGAGAGCGAAAACACTGCGTTTTCGGAACAAGAGATGCATATACTTCGTGTTTTTAAGCCGCAGAGGCCGAAGGACTTTGTTGCGCGACCAGCTAAACGCACAGACCTAGGATGCGTCCAACAACGTCACTGTACCCATAAAACACATGACTGATCGATCGAATGAGAACGTGTAACTTTCGCCGAGCAATACAGCCTCTCCCAAATCACCACGAGGTCGACCAATTATGGCAATTTCGGCTTTAGTGTTGCACTCGTGGGACTGAAATCTTACTTCAACAGGCTGAACAAAGACAACTGCGAGTGTGAAAGTATATGCAGTTCATAGTTTTAGATCATTTAGTGATGAAGAGCTGACAGAAAGAACGAAAGCAGTCAGTAGAGAATACCGATTGTGGTGATAAAAGTGACGATGATTTTCGGCAGCGTTTTCAACGTTTCTTAACCTATTGGTAGGCAGCTAATCTGAGGTCCAAAAGTGGGACGAGCCTTCAGTTTTGTTGTCAGTACTTCATGGTTTTCTTTCCACAACGTGTCTGCTGAGTCTGAGTGTAGCATGTCCAGTAACATGCAAAGTTTTATCGTTCTACGGTTGAAATTATGGAAGTTACACTTTGGGATCATATAAATATCATCATAAAAGTAAAAACACTCGTCCAGATGCGATAAAAGGTGACCGTATGCTTAGTCGGTAGTAAATCCCATTCAGAGGCCCAAAATGATGTTTTTTTTCCTGACATTAATGAGACATCCAAGAATCCGACTTATCCTCATACAAGAGACTACGGAAGCGAAGAAACTAACCATTCTGGCGACCTATTTCAAATCGCGCGGTCTAACTAATAGGAAGGTCGGAATTACTTCTTTTTATTTCCAATCAATCAACCCGTGGAACGAGTAGGGACACGTGCTTAGGGAAAGGCTTTACAGGTTGCTGTTGCAAGTATGTGGGTTATAAATGCTCCAGCCTAATCTACATTCCTCACTCTTGTGGCGATTACGCGCCCACTGCCAAATAGACAAAACATACTTTTACAGTAATTTTCTGGATCGTTGATAACTCTGTGAACACGGACTACTATCCCGTGACACTTCACTGCCCCTTTGTATGGATGCTCACGGTCGACCAGGCAACAGAATTCACATACAGAAAGCGGATTTAATGGCGAATGACCGGAAATAAAAGTAGCGCCATTAATAATGAATTTCTCGAGAGTTTACTGTAGGTTCATGGTCACGTACCAAATGCATTGAGCTGATAAACAGTGGATAGTATTCCGATAAGTCAATACAAAACTTCAACTAAGAAGAAATAGGAGTTTTGAAGGGGCGATGAAGAAAACGAAACACGACAGAATTGTGCAGAAGATACCACTTTCGGGTTACCCAACTAATGGACCAAACAGGGAAAAAGTTGCAATGGTGATTCCCTTTACTGTCGGACTAGATGTCATGTTGCACAACTGATGTTGCGAGCGACAGTGCTACACTACCCATCAAACCCGATCAACCCTCTTGAACTTGACTCGTTTTGGCCTAAAACCCAGTTGCAAATGGTGGTAGGTTGAATGTACCGATGCTAGAAAATAGTGTCTCACTTTGATAACTGTGATCCACGATCGGCGATAAATCGCAAAATTGGAAAAAAGTGCGAAAGAGACGGCATAGAGCTGCATATCAGTCAACCGGATTCCTGGTTCAAGGTGACGTCCTTGTTTGCGAAAGAATCACGACTTAGAGGAAGGAATACCTTGCTCCATTAGATTGTTATTTCATGAAGGCAGCAGAAATACGTTAATTCTTTGTCTGGTTGTGAATGAACAACAGATTTTCTACGTTTTTGCGTAAGTTAACGGATACCTTATCAAAAAAAAAGCAAAGCAGGATGACTTAAAGATGTGTACGAGTGAGTGTGGTACGCGCGGAAGAGCGATCCATCTCGTGCGTAACCAAGCACAAAATGCGTAGTCATACAGTCGCTCGATCCTCCACCATACAAACATTTTCTGGCGCACCGAAACGCCTCGCCGATGAGGGTAGTCCCTCTTGAGAGGATGAGGCGTACAAGACACCTATTGCACTTGAGGATTCCTTAGAAATCTTTTGTCAACATGTGGTAGAATGTTCACTGTAACTAACGCCAATACTCCAGATGTTCAACAGCCTCGTATGTATTCAACTTGGATATCGTGGTAGGTTAAGATGATGGGCTTGGTCAGTGCCATCAGTTCCCGTTATACCGAACAAGTAACGTATACAACGCTTGGTCATGCCAGAATAAGGAAGATAGAACGGGACACCTGTTCCTTCCCCTCGGTTCTGAAGAAGTTTCATCTTGTAATACTGTTGAAGTCGAAATAATTCCTCCTTAAAGGGGATGTTTTTCTTCAAGGTTACTTATGGGGAAGTATCGCACTAGAAATGGTTGTTAGATAGAGGAAGTAGAGGGAGCAGGGAAACATTATTCCAGCTAGGGGATACTCAGCGTTTATGAAGCAACAATAAAGATATTCCATCCCAGGATAATACAATTTCGGGACGAAAGCAACGGTGGTAATTTGTACCCCGTATTCACCGAAAAATTCTGCAACCAAAAGAGACTTTCGAGGGGAGGGGGGCGATCAAACGACATACTCAATCCGAATATATTCATGGAAAACACAAAGTCGAATATACAGTAAGGGTTAACTGAGCGGTTGAACACAAAGACAAACAGGTGGAGTTTTCGGTTGAAAAGGAGGGACAACAAGGTAGAGGGATAGTTACATGCTGAAGTGCCTCAGGCTAATCGTGCCAGCATAATTATTGATTAGTCCGAGCACTAACGACAACGTAGAGTTAGACTGCATTCCTGAGTGGATGAACTCACCCACCAGTCAACGAAAATACCGAAAAACATGTCAAATCGTCACATACAGGGTGTGAACAATCGAGCTTAGCAGGCGCTCTGATATGCAGAGTAAGCAGGGTTATTAGTGGTGTTGAGTTAACTAACACGGTGGCTAACATACTAAAACAGAGTATTTCAGTTAGGAAACGCCAATGAAAGACCAAACGTGCAAATGCGCTACATCCTCCGAAAAAGATCACAAGAGTGTGAAATGTTCAGTTGTGTTTCATCTAGGGAATAGATGCTTTGTATTCATACCGATGTGCGGTATTGCGTGTCTAAGATGATAATAAACACAGTAGGTGGCAACCGAGGAATGCTTATCGTGCATGACAAGTATTTCGTCAAAATACACGGCTGTACATATATTACTTTGAGACGGATGTCCTATGGGGGCTTTCAAGGCTGCTGCAGAGAAGATTAAAAACAACATAATGTTCTCTCGAAATGCTGACCACCAAGTGAACTTTTAAAACACTGAGACTTCACGTTACGGGTGCATACACAAGAAGGACAGTTCATTCTGTAATACAGTTTGATCCCTCAACGGACGCAACTAACCTAAGATACGAATTAGCCATACATAACAACAGAGAGACAACCGATAACCATAGGAATCTCGAATAATCTAGACAAGGGCATTTCTAAATGAACTTACAGCTGTCTCACTCGATCCGTCATCAGGACAACTGATATCTTTGCCCTCGAACTGGGCACGAGCACGCGCAGCAGCTTCCATGGCCAAAACACGAGGCGCGGGACCGAGAGTAGCGGCCGCAGTGGGGACACTGGCTCTGAATCGTTGAACCAGATCATTCAATTCGCGGGCAAGCAGTGTTCGCGCAGTCGTGTTTGAGGTGGGGATTTGGAGTATTAGGGCCATCTGTTGCGAGTCAAGGTCGGGATGAAGACCTATAACACCACCATGGACGCCGGAACCGCTCAAATTTCCCGCGAATTCTTTAAGCCCTACTTGCTCCAACCAGGCTTGCACTCGTTCACACGACCAAACAACGAGGTCTGAGAAAAATTGATAAAAATTAACGGGATGTGCTAGGCTGGAAAACGCAGCAGACAGAAGACTTGTTCGAAAACCGAGTCAAATCAGGCTAGAACTGTATTGGTCGAACTGGGCTGATGTTTTGGAAAGATGACAATTGACCGAATAATCCAAATTCATAGTTATCCCACACTAGTGCACAGATAAAAAAGAGAGACCGATGAGAATGGAATGGAAGCTTAGATTTACAGATAATACGCCCGATAATCGTCGCGAGAATGTTATGTCTGTCGATGACGGAAATACGGTGGGGACGACTAGCGCTGTACAAAGCGAGTGAAAGTGGAAGAAACGAGCACTGGTCACATACTATAGAGCAACATTAAACGGGCGTGGAAGACAAAAACGTGGATCACAATGAGGGCTTAAAAAAAGTTTACGGGCCATTGTCGAAGTCCAGCTAGCCAGTGGTACTAAGTTTATGTGATGTAACTTGGTATTTACGTATTGGCCACCAATCGTCCAAACGATAGAGACGGGTTGACGAACAATTGAATTACGAAATATAGCGTTTACGGTGTCTCGTTATCGGGAGATCCCGGTACCTAACCAAACAGCAATCAAATACACAGATTACTCTCCTCCCCGCAGTATGATTCTGATACAATGCGGACTAAAATGTATATTTCACGACGGTTTTCGTTTTATTAAAACTAGGTGGGAAGCGACAGTCTTCGTGGTTCCCACCCTGAAACGTATGTCTCAGTCCCCTTTCGGACTCACAGAAAATACTACTTAGACACAACAGATCTTAAACGATGCCGCCAACAGCAGCCACATGCGTAAGAATGAGCGGAGCTGCTTACAATAGATACACAGGATCTCTAACAGCAATCAGTATCGAGAAAAGCACTATGGGATCCACTAACGTGAGGTGCTTTTGCATACATCTTTTGGTGCCAAATCAGGCTGAATCACCGTGGAATTTCAGAACTGAGAACAATCCCACGCTCGGTCCACACGACCGAGCGACGGATGAGTGTCATGTGAGTGGCACGTTTTTTTGTCACAATATTCAGCAGATAGTTCATGAAAGACGCGAAGGTCCCATGGATTATTCTCAATTAGCACTTCAAAAGGATCATTCCGCCAAGGAACGGCCTTCAATAGTCTTCGATTTTGTCTGTAACTTCTCATACAGATGGCAAAAAGCTCAATTCGTCCCCGTAGTAAAAGGTGGAGACCATCAGTTTTGGAAATTGTAAGACACTCTGCGTTCCCGAAAAATTAGGCTTACCGGGCGGACCTAGTGAGCTTTTTGGTAGGACAACAGCACAGCACAGACATATGCATTTTTAAAAGTGCTCTCCGTCTGACTGATAGCTTATGCGGCGAGAAAGTTGATGCGGAGACCGAGAACTACCAGCAATACATTCACACATTCTTGAAGAGTAAAAGGATTGTGGGCCTGAGATGCGAGAGACGACATTCGCAAAACATATTAGGCTAGCATATGGAATGTGTACACAAGGACGTTAAAACTGCACGAACACCAATATTCTCAGGCCACATTGGTTGTCTTATCGTGCCAGCCGGGTCTCTACTTATTGCGCCCAGCACAGCAGGTAGGGCGAAAACGGGCTACTGCCGAGATTCTGATCTCCTTTCAACATCTATTTTCTAGTTTCCCTGTTATTCCATTTAACGCTCACTATGCTGTGGATTCTAGCGGCAAACATAAGTCCTGTATCCAAAGAAGTGACGAATAGCACGCCACAGCTCGTATGTCGCCTCGCGTTCACTTCTCAGACCTCGCTACCGTGTTTTTATCGCGACTTGTAATGTGAGCCGTGAAACAAATCGACCAATAACATGTTCGTACAGCAGGGAGCTGGGCTTTATGTGGTGATTCTGAAAGCCCCCCAAAGAAGCACCGCATTTAAGAATGGTGAATGTCACTCCTCGATGCAAGACACCATATTACTTTGAACACTGGGGATAATTCAGCCGGAATTTATGTTAGATGTCAACTTAAGCAGCCTACGTGAGGAGAGGTGCTGGTAGAATCAGCTCCGGAAACGAAGGAATCTGAAGGAGTTGGGAAATATTTTCATCTGAACAAAAAACCTATCTCTGGTGATGTTGTCAAGAATGATATTGGTAATTAAATGTACAACAAGAACCAGCATCTAGGCTGAATATTTTTGAAAACCGTTTTGGTTGGGCCTCTGCTTCTGTGCCCATGTCATCCAGTTGACTCACTCAACTCAACCCGTCTGTGAGATTGGATCACATTCAAGTTTTTCGGTACAAGTATCTATCAATGCACCCCATCATCACGTAGTGATGTCCTCTTGTTTGACAACGAAACCTTTGTAGGTCAATTGCAAGTTCGGTTAACAGATCAACAAACAATAAAAAAGGATGTGCTTCAACAGTCTAGGGCCAAGTAATCATTATACCTCTGTTCGAGAAAGGTATCCACAGCGACTGCTCCAGCCATAGGGGTGAGGCTTATTCCAGAGGTAACACGGTCACTAAATCCAACTATACTGTGACATCTGACCTCATCATGTGAGACGGAAATCCGAAGACGTCAGGCAGGATGCCGACTGGGTGAAGTGAAGCACCACGGACACCGCTCGCGGAGGCAGTTTTCCTTGACTTCAAAATAGTTTTCGATTCTGTGGAGGCTGCTCCTCTATCCACACTTCGCCAACGTAGAATGTCTTTGAAATTTGTGAATATCCTTCGCACAATTTATTTCCACACTTCTAGTTGCATTAGGCTTTACAGTGAGCGATATAAAACTTTCGCCATAACCAGTAGGGGTCATCACGGATGTCACCTCTCCCTAGTCCTGTTCAACGTTGTCATTGATGTCATCATGGAATGTACCTTCGAGAGACCGCAAATCTAAGTATCGGAATCGCACCGGAAGAATGACTGGTAGACTTAGATGATGCGGATTGCACATTTTTTATTCGATGAACGTGGGTCTGAACAAAACTATTTTACATGGTCCTCTGTTTCGGTACGCAATTTTCACCTCCAAAGGACAGTCTTGCTTCAGGATTTCCGTTGGAAATTTTAGAGTGAAGAGCTTGAGTTTGTTGATACCTTACCTTACAACTTCACAGTCGCATAAGCCGTGACTGAACTGTGACAGCATCATCATCATCATCATCGACAGCATGACATCAGTGTTCAACTCAACTGCTTCACTGCCGTACAACCTTGACTTATTTGAAAGCCTTATTGTAAAGAAAAGAATAAAGGTGAACGCGGCAGGGACTTAGTGCTAGCTTAACACAACCATTCCGAGGTGCCTACACCTCCAGACATTCACTCAGGCAATCTGGACAGAAACTGACAACAAGAACGCCACTGACATCGGTTGGCAACCATATCTTGTAGTGTCTCCAACCAGGCACAGTGAGGATCACGCGGTCCCCCATCCTGGAGGCGAGTTGCACCGACAGCACCCAAGCGTTTCGTGATCTGTGACAGCCAAAGTCAGCATCACCAATGCAAGAGTAATATTCACCAGTTTAATTCACCTATGGTCGCGTCTCCTAAACGACCATAGAAGCTTCAGATAGTTGACCAATGATGTCCCCGTAGTATAACAGGGGCTACCCGGCCAGTAAAGAAAACGGTTCTTAGGCAAGCATCAAGGAAGTGCCGACCAAAGAGCAGATAAGGCTTGCCAGGCTAAATTTGTCTGGACCTGTATCATGAATGCCTGACCACCATCTACCAAAGAAAGTCGTGTTCTCCACTCCAAACCCTTGCTGGCAAAAGGTTTGCGCAGTACAGGCAATAAGACGGTGACGCGAAATGGAAGCGGCTTTTGTCAAGTTGAGGACTGTGGGATTTTCGCGCATTTTAGGGAGTGGCCCATGTTATTTCTCTTGAACGTCGTTGGGAACCCTAAAGACACTGCATGTGACCGGTTCCAGTGGAGAGCATTCTGTCACTATCTTAGCTGACGCTTGTTTGTCGTTGTGCGTAGGGCTTTTAGTGGATATGATTCGCAGAGGATATTGGATCGATCCAGCTCCAATATGATGTTCAGATGTGCTTATTTCGGAAGATGTAAGCACTTCGCTCTGGGCTGCTTGCTCTAAGAACATAGGGGTTTTTGCAGTGGGGATAGGATTAATGCAAATGATGTTCGTCTTTGGGGCGCAGAAATGGTTGCGGAAGAACTATTAACGGTAACCGGAACAGACTGAGATAATTCATTGGAGGGGTGCCATAGAAGTTGGAATGAAATACCGTCAACTCCAAGATGGACATGTAGTTGACAAGGCTTGACTAAACGTGTAAACTAGTCTTATCAGGTAAGTAGGGCAATATAACTTGAGACGAAGCAGGGCTATAAACGGTTGGGGGGAGCAATGTAAGCACAGAGAAGTTTTGCAGTCAATGCAGTCAAATAAGCTCAAATGGTAGAAATTGCCGACGTTCTACCACAAACGAAGCTGGTGGGATCGCAAATACCTTTCAAAGACATTAAGTTTATCATCTCTTCCAACAGTGCAGATTTTGATCTGATTACCCTATTTCGTATCCGCACACAATTCCTTCACCGGGACCCGAAGTTTAAGCTTGTGGGTGAGTTCTTTCGGTCTTACAAGCCATTTGGGAGGCAGGGGATTAACTTGCCTGACATTAAAGAACAACTTCTCTACGGGGCAATACTGAGTGACTGGTTTGGATGAGATAGGAGGTAGGTCGGATGGGGGGATTCAACCTGTACAATAGATCTGGGGAGTCATCAGGCGCTTGTGAGCGGATCTTGAATGAGAATCGTCCAAGGATGAGTCACAACAAACGTGGAAAGTAGTAAAGCACAAACAGTATAGTGGTCAGAAGCAGAGACAGAGAGAGAGAGATATTTCAGGCTGCCCAAACGAGTTTGAATGAGTTGTACACAACTTCCGGTTGACCGAACAACTAGAGTGTGCAGGCCCGAAGGAAAACATTGTCTGTGAAATTACCCGACAATTATATAAGTACGTCCGAAAAACCTTCGGAGATTGTGTAGATTAGTCAGGAGAATTGTCCGGAACAGTCACGAACAGTCTTGGTGTACTCAATGTGAATGGCCAAGCGACAACCCCCCTCCTTTTTTACTACGCGATCCAAACGGATAAGTTACAGAATTACTGTCATTGCTTAACCACGACTAATTGTAGGTGGTTAATGGATTCATCCTACGCTTGTTTGAAGAGTGTTTTTTTGTATCCTGGTGCAGTCATTCCACAAAATTCCTGAACCAGCAAAATGTAAGCTCTATGGGATTAAATGAGGGTGATCAATCCCAGGGACAAATAACATTGTGTTGAGAGATGCGACAAACTGGACGGACATCATTGATGTATACGTTAGTGCTTTTTCGACCTGCAGTATATAGCGAGTGCATTACTTGCAGTTTGCAGCTTGTGAGCACATTTTTTTCCGTAAAACGAAAGGCTGTAATTTCAATTTAAAGACCGAAAAAATATGTTGATTGGTGACGAAATGACCCATTCCTGAACGACAGACTTAGGTGTAATCCGGAGAGACAGCAGAGGTGCACTTACGTTTAAACGGAGTCACGGTGATTCACCATGCTGTCATTAACACTTTGAAAACTACTATTCGGCTAGGCGTCTGCTTGAAAACAAACAAACAGTAATATATCAATAACAATTACACAATGAGACACCAAGTTAGTGACCATCGTTCGCAGACCCCGGTACTCTAGGCATACATTTAGCTCGCTGGAGTGAATAGGAGTTGCACAGAATATAGTTTGAGAAGAGCATACCAATGTTATCCGTTTGTACAGCTTCTCGTTGTCGTCGTTCCAATTCCAACCGATCGTAATTGAGTCGTTTCAGACAAACAATTCCGTATAAAAGACTAGTGCGGTGTAAATTATCCACCATTTTCAGATGAGTGCGCAAATCGCGCTTGGTCAGGTGATCCAACATGCGAGCATCCACAAGACATTCCATGAACGAAGGACGATACTGAGCCAATCCAAGGTTAGGAAGCCAAACATTGCCAACCCATTCGTGATTCATGTCACCGAACGCCAGTCGACTGTGGGAGAGAGTAGACACACAGCAGAAGGTAAAAGTATGCCGCAGAAGTGACAGAAGAGCAAAAGGAACATAGGGCGGCTTTATGACAGTAACAACTGACAAACAAGATAGACAAGTATGGAGATTTGATGAGCTGCACTAGGCTGTGCCAAAAAGTTCACTTCACAAACAACAACCGTTAGTCCTAATGTAAGATGCCCCCCCCCTAAGGAGCCAAGGTGATAGCGCCCATCACAAAAAACGCATGCTAACAGAACATCAACGTGACTGAAGACAACAGAAGAATGAAGAGACAGATTACAAGTGGATTGTGGGAGGGAGAATCGTAGAAAATTTACCACGAGTTATTCTAAACTCCGCGGCCAGCACCCACGTTCCCACACAGTTGCTATCGATTACTCGTCACAACTCGACTAACAATTTACGGAATGAAACACTATCTTGTCAGCAGGTATCCAGCAACTAAATTAATAAAACCTGAAGAAAATGACACGAAACTTCAAGGTGGAAAGCTTGAAAGTGCTGGTTGGCTTATGTACCTTGGTAATTGTATCAGTCGATTGTGCTGCGACAAACTGAGTAAACACACGCATTAGCAACGTTTGCCTACTTGCATCATTTTCGGCGCAAAACCGAATCTTATTGAGGCTGAAAAGAGGTGCATAGAATTCAACAGTAAGAGTGCCCTTACTTCACGCGGTTACCAAAGGTGTTGTTCTTCTATTCCAAATATCAGCTGGCGAACGATCTAAGGAGGAAAATCCAAGGTACGGAAGCACGAGACGAAGAGGGCCACAATCCAACTGAATTCTGAGATATTAATGCCTTCCTGGCAATGGTTCACGTGATTCCCAATAAACGTGGTCAGAAACTCCATAGGACATGACGATTAACGGACCCCTACGTCTAATCGAACTTCTTAGCTCAAGTGTTTATCCGTTGTTCTAGGCTGGGCTGGAATGACGCTAAGATGTGTTTACCTCACCCCTGTAGACCGGTTGCTACTGTCCAGTTTATCAAAGGACAAGGATTGCTCCCCTGAGTACTTGCCCTTTCCCTTCCGAATCGTCACTAAGGTATTCCTTCCTCATGGTTGTATGGCGGTTAATGTCGACTATAATAACGACGACAGCTCTTGACGAAGTGGATGGGAACTCTTCCATTTAATTAGTAGGATGTGACTTTAATAACTCTTCCGGTATTTGAGTTTACGAATAGGAGTCTTTGGTACACACGAGCACTGGTAATTTACTCAGTTTTCAGGCTAAAGACATCTCTCTTTGAGTCACATAGGATTCTTGTGTACGAGTTTCATTCACATCTATCACAGTTCCAAGCATCTGATCCATCTACAGGAATATTCCTTTCGTCATCATCGACGGAATAGTCCTATTGTTTAATCCAAATGATGTTGAACTAACTGCCCATTGCAGTTCTTCAATTACCATAAATCCGGAAGCGTTGTAGGTTTACAGGTATCCTGAGAGACAAAATAGTGTTTCACACTAATCCGTTTCTGTTCTGCCAACGCGAACCTATTGAACTGATCAACTTACAGTTTATGTCTTAACACAATTAAGAACGCGTGAGTCGTACTAGGGCGCAAAGTGTATAGAACCACAAGAGTCTGCGGCCCAAAAATCGAGCACGTGATTGTTGCAAGAGAGAATGAAGAAACACTGGTGGAACTGCAATCCAGACAAACAATAAAGTATCTTCATAGGACAGTATCTGGGGTCACATTACAGTTTGATCACGCTCATGTTCTCCTTTTTAGCGACTTGATGCTAATTTCGAGATATTGCTACAAGAGCTAGGTTTCATTACAAACTGTACCCATCACTAGATCATCAAAATTCGTTGCATTCCGTCCATTGGTGAGGTGTTGACGAAAAATACGATGGGTCCTACGATGTCTACATTTCGTCAGTGTACTTCCAAGTGTGCCGAACTGAAAGGATAACAATAAAGACTTGCATTCTTCAAAGGAGTTGCAAAGAATGGATGGCAGAGTAGGTCGGTTTCAACGTGCACATACCCAGTTGAGAGTTCGATGACAGCATTCCAACGGCCGGCCCTATAACACTTGGACTTCGAACTATTATCCGCCGCATGAGGCGGCCTGTGTGCAGCACATTTAGTTGGAGGACATCATAAACGAGGGATTCAATTGAGTCTCCCGTGAAAACCAAATTGATTTGCAAATGAGTGTATCTCTCGAAAACAGGCCAATTTGGATTCAAGAAGAACATAAGGCTGACGGAAACTCGGGGACTGCGCCTACCTGATGAGCCTCAAGAAGGGCGAAACCGGTCATGAGCTGTCGAACAGTTTTCAGCAACCTTGTGAGTAGTTTCCTTTACAAAGAATAAACAGTTTCGGTTCTGAAACCCGATAGCAGTGGGGCGGATGTAGCGATCCCATGGACCCTAGGTTGGAAACCATTGTATCTAAAAATCCAAGTTTGAATATCTGTGGCACCTGTATCCTGGTTACCGAAAACTTTTTAATGAGTACTTGGGCAACCGGTTTGTTTGCAGACACCAATTGGTCACACAAAGCATCTTTGAGTCTCGACCCGTGAGTCATTAAATTTTTCGGTTGTACACTTTGTGAAATCTCGTTCTAAATGATCTTCCGTTGGCAAATGAGCCACGAAATACCAACACAGAGTAACAAGTGAAGTAAGTCGAAGTAGCTTCAGAGTTGGACTGAATAATGAGTCACCTCACACACGTCCAGCTTTGGGTTTAACAATGCCACTAAAACTTCCCTAATTCACAAACTTTGGAAGTAAGAAAACAGCATATATGGTAAATGAAGCTACTCACCTGGTACTTGGTTTCGGGACCGGTGTTGGCGAGGTGAGGGCAACCATTTCCTGAATAGCCAAACGTAGCTTGAGTCGATGCAAGGGATTACTGATACCGATCTCGCGCTGAATCTCCTGTTCTGAAAGTGAGGCCATGATGGCACCTGATTTCACATTGGCTCGACATGCGGCCACATACCAGGCCGGCATACCAACCCACAACTGTGTGGAATGGAAACGATAAAACAAAATGTGTAAGACCATGGGGGATTTCGGCGACACTATGAGAACAAATAAATGGGCTTATATGAACCGGTTACGGAATAACTACCTGACAACTGGTGAACATTCCCAGACAGTTTTCTTTACAGAATGCATGCAAAAAACCGGAAACGGGTTGACTACAAATCAGAGGTGAACAGGATACTGTCTACTACAATGATAGGCAGCAATCGTAGAAACAGATGGTATGGAAATGTCCGAGAAGACTTGAGGACTCAATGTGAATGATAGGAAAAGTCGTCACGTGAACATTCAATAGGCCAAGAAAGTGGACAGTTTGGTCAGAATGCTGGCGGTTCAACATCAACTGATTTCGAATACATCCAGTATAAGACAGCATCACAACGTTCGTAGTCCGCGCACCACTTTGAAAATTCCTTACATGAATTTGAACAAGGGTGAAAAATGATTTCTCACCCAACAACATAACATGCCCTGAAATTCGGTTCGCCTTTTTCAGGTTAGGGTGGCGCAGAGTCTGTGTAGTGCAGTGCAAGTCCTTTCGAACTGCATATGTTGATTCAAGATAGTTACGACTCCCGATAGTGCGACCGAAGCAAAAGCAAATGTGTAGGAGAAACGAAACTGCCTTTAGATCACAGGATACGCTTGCAAGTGCCGTTCAGAATGTTCCATTAGCTGATTTCCGAAAATCCAGGTGCTCCAACTAAGAAACGGGAAATTACATATCTAGTACTTTGATTGAAATGACGGATGGCTGGTCGCCTAAACAGGGGAGTTAATTACGGACTGAGTTCAGCTTGGAAATAAGGTGCATATGAAAACCTGCTTGAGCATTGGGTCAAGACCCGCTTTTTCGTGTCAAGCAGCCAAATGTCCCAACATGCAGGAAAAATTAGCTTGAAGGGTATTACTATATGGAATGAGTCACAAACAGCAGTGGATCAAATAAAAAACAGAAAGCCCACAGATACAACCAGATTGCCTATCGGAAGGTTCAAATTTGTGCCGCAACAATAAGAGGACGCCAAGCTAATTTCCGTATGTTAAGGGAGTGGACGAAAGATAGAAAATACAAACAGATTTAGCTGCCTGCATTTCGGACAGTCTTCGCTCGTTTTCTACGGAATAATGGCAAATGTCCACCACGGACGAAAGTGCTCTCGAGAAGCAATGTGGACTCAGTAATCGCCATCAGCACTAACAGTAACACCTGCAGAGGACACCGGTGTTTTACTGCCGCATAACCATTTTACTTTGTTCAAATGGGGAAAAAGAAAACCGCCGACCCACCAATAACCCAAGTCGCCTACACTCACAGCCCTTAATCAGACAAGTGATGCCACGGAAACGACCTAGCCACCGTGTATTTTAGTGTGTTCAACCATGAACAGTGAAGAGTAAGCAGACATCATCCTGGAATGTGGGTCGTGTCGGTAGCACGAAAGCTTTCTGCAACATCCTTCGTCCGCGAAGTTATCCTCAGTAGGGTAGGTACAAGGATTATGCAAATGTGATCAGTTATTGTTTCCGTCAACTTTACAGAAACTGGCAATTAGGCAAATATAAATGCATTAAAATCACCTGAAAAAGCTGATACCCAGAGACCTTGACCAAACGTGCCAATCACTTCACAGTGGGAAGAAGATCCCGGAGAAAGCAAATCTGCCAGACTCGATGGATATGAGCGTCGAGTCTCAGTCTCGCGTTACATGCATGGTGTTGCGCAATCGACAAAATATAAGTAATAATCAACTTCTGGAAACTCCAAATATACCTTGTCTAGGCGAATACTGACTCGTACTTTGTGCTTTTCCCATGACTCCGCCGGTGGATTCCGAGATAAAACAAAAGCAATTTCAGATTCGATTTGGTTGGTAACATCTGTATTCCATCCATTTGTTTTAAACAGGTAATACAACCCATTCAGTGTAGCTGTGAATGCTTGTGGAACGATGCACCTCTTGGGCTTTAGGTCGCTAGAGATCATATTAGCCATCACTAAACAGGCGATTGACAAGGGATCGATGTCGCTAACACTAATACTAGATTCGAACTCTGAATACCCGGCACACCGGCGCCACACTGGGTGGGGGACAAGTGAAAGAATTAGATTGTTTGGAAACGCGAAAATGTACAGAATTGAGGGCAACTAGATTCAAAACCGGCCCCAATGGCTGTCATGTGAAGTGCGTGACAAAGGACCACTACTTTAAAAGAACATCTACAGGACTAAAAAATCTTACAAGATCAAAACGGCGGTACCAAGACGTATTGGGTAATGCATAGGATAAATACAATTACAGGAATAGCTTGAAATAGATGGAAAACCTTGAACAAAATTTTTCACATACATATAGGAACTTTTACGCGTGATTCAAAAAAACGGATTCAAAACGGACGCATTCGGGGACGATTTACAATTGCCACTCATGAAATGTGCACTGCTAGTTACTTTTGGTAGCAGTGCAACAATTGTACAGTACTTCTTGGCCTTTCACACTAAAAACAGATCAGAGTGGCTTTCCTTCAAGCCCAGAAAAAATTATCATCGTAAATCCAAAAGGACTGAGATGAAATGAGAATAAGCAGTTATCAAAGAGGTAGGACGTGGTCAGATAGGTACGATATTGTGAAGCATTGTACCGTAACACATAAGTCAATGCTGACAAGAAATGGAAGGGATTTTTCCACCTACCTCTAGCCAAGCGACAACTGTCGGGCCATTCCACTGGGCGAAGGGAAGGCGTGTCATCATGGCATTTTCCAGCAGCTCTTCCTTCTTCCATCTCCGGCGTTCCTCAGGAACGGGTGCTGGTCCACTAAGACCACCACCATTCAAACCATCTGCAGTGGTAGATACAGGACTAGGACTGACGACACCAGATGCACTGGAGGTAGTGTTACTATCCGACAAATTCGATGCGGGGAACGGGGAAACAGTTCCACCAAATTGTCCGGAAACGTTAGCATTGTCTTCTGGGTGGGGCAAGGAAAGCGATGATCAGAATAATTTCTTGTTGTTGTATGACCAATGGAAGAGCCTTGCATAGGGGATCAGTGAACAAAGAGTGCTGCCCGCAACCGAGGTGGGAATAAGGCCGAAATAAAAGAGAAACATCGTGTGGAAATAGTGCAATGTGGGAGTGGATCCTCGTGCGACAAGGGAATTGAGCTGACAACAACACTGCCGATAATTGGTGATAGTAACTGTCACTTCTCACGACATACAGCACATACTTATCAACCATGGAAAATGAGGTCTAAATTCAAGATGATTCGCGGCGCTTTTCCTGTTCTCTTGTATCTTTAGGGCTAACCACATTGTAATGATGGAGAATGTGCTTCCAGCAGTACTTATATGCGGAAAAACTCGAGCCATCAACAATGGGGAGCGTTTTACTATTAGTACGAAGGTGCTCATGAGAATGCTTCTCCAATCAAGCGACATACAAACATTTATTCCGGACACAGGATTGACGCGCTCGAATTGGTTATCAGCTAGGTGGACCAATAAGAACACAATATAATACAATTAAAGCTGACGTCGACATTTCTGGCCACCACCACAAGGTTAGACAACCCCACAGGGCGCTCACTACAACACCCTGAAAACAAGATCCCAGGGCTAAACACATGAATACTAAATCACAGATGTTCCTCACTAACCTGAACAATAAACACCTAGCGGAGGTGGCGGTGCGTTTCGTTGATTCATGTGCTGCAATTGGTGTTGTTGTTGCTGCTGCATCAGGAACCGCTGATGCTGCATTAGCTGTTGCTGATGATGTGATATTGAAGGATAGGGTTGTTGTTGTTGTGTCCCTGGGGGAAATGGACCACGAGTGAACGGTTGTTGCGTTATCCCTAGAGCTGCATTCGATTGAACAGAATGTCGAAAGTGCATCGGAGAACCGACGCGAGACGGCGAAGCGAAACCAGGATAACCAGGACGCGTGGGGTAGGGGGTCGATGTGTATGAACTCGGAAACGCAGAGGATTGTGCTTCCGATCCGCTCACCAGGCCACTGGAATTGTTTCGTTTGAAGAATCTACCAAGAGTTCCTGAAAGCATACGAGATTTCTTTTTGCTTGGAGTCGGCGAGGGTGCAGGAGATGAAATGAACTGGGAACGATTGTACGGTGCCATTGAGCCATACGGTGACATTTCGGGAACATAAACACCAGAAGGATTGATGCCACGTGGAGGAGGAGGATATCTTTGTGAAGGGTGATAAGAGTTTCCACCCAGGCGAGATTGGACTGCCTGCAGTGATTGATACTGCTCGTATTCTCGTTGCAAATGGTTTTTCTGAAGCAGATGCTGTTGCTGTTGGTTTTGCATCTGTTGCTGGACAGGAGGTTGTGGGTGAACGGAGAACATTTGCTGCTGTGGTATTGATCCAAACGTAGGCGACCCTAACTGATGCCCAGACGACTGAGGATCAGAGTTTGATGAGACTTCGTCAAATGGACTGCCCCCTGAGATGCCAGACAACGAACTAAAAAACAGCAAGAAAAAGTAGCTTGAGATAATCGAAGAGGGCTTTTCGTGAAGCGTTCATGCCACCGTAATCGATCATATGTCTGTCGTCACTATGATCACTTTGGAGCACATGCCACATATGAGATCGCAGCTGGAAAAAAGTAACTCTGCGGCAAGTGCTAGCAAACAAAGCCCCAGCGCTCGGAAATACATGAAACATCAGCCGCGTGAGCACGTAATATCATAAACTTTCATCTGACAAGAACCAATAAGGACGAACGGCATCATGTAAATGAACGCTTCGCAAACCGACTGTCCATTCGCTGAAACATTTGGGCAATATTCAAGCCTCACTGATTGTGAATTACCGGATCTTCCGCGAGGGCTGATGGCGAGCTGTATAAGCAACATGTGAGTTCATCCGCATTCAGATTGCCAGATTAATCAAGAACGATCATACCTCATTAAAATTACCTGTCAGTGGAGATATGGCCCTGAGGTCAAAGTTTAAAACTGCTCACTAAAGCATCACATGATTCACCTTATCTATGCCCAGTTAACGAATTTAAGGAAGGTCACATACAACGGGGCATTTTGGAAACCCAGCATGTCAATGGGCAAGTGCCGTTAAGAAAATGTTCCACTGAAAAAATGACAATCAACGGCGACGGCATGCGGAGCCATGCTAACGTAACGTTTCAAGGATACATGCAGCGGGTGAGCGCCTAAGCGGATACCAGTTCAAGCCGCACATCAGTCCTAGCGGACAATTAACTACCTGGAAGAATTCACGTGCTCTTTTACGGAATTGGTCGAATGGCGGCGTGCAGCAACGTCGTGTTCCTCCAAACTAATCTCGTCTGTGGTCAGCTGAGCCGACTGTTCTAGCTGTTTCTCTTCAAATTTAGCTTTAGACATGCTCTGACCTCGGCGTAATTTGGAGTGGATTGGTGGTGTAACCGAGGCCGCTCTGTACGACTGACTGATGGGTGCTTCTTGAAAGTTTGGCAGCTGCTGCTGAAATCCAGGCAAAACAAGCGATTTCGCGACGGCGGCGACTGAGACTTTTGCAAGGGTCACAGTTGGTGAAGTTTCAGATTGCGTTTTGCTAGTAATGTATGGAGATTGACTTGTGGAGGTAGCGATAAGTTCAGGAGCTCTGTTTTTGGTGTATAATATAAAACGCTGTTTTTAGGCATCAATAAAACAAGCAATCAATGAAATGTACAACGATGGTATGCATGCAGTTCAAATGGAAGACGATGGTATGCTTTCAGGTACTAAAACATAAAGATGGTGATGGACAAACTGAGACAGGGAACTCGAAATGTTGAGACGAATAGCAGGAAACGGTTAGATGAACGGACAGTAAAAAGGTACAGAACATTCTAATTTAAAGAATCATAATGTACCTTAGTGCTGGGATGAAGTTCAAGAGTCCTGCGAAGATGGCTTAGTGAGTAGAGCGCGAATGTACTATCCGGGAGGTTCTCGGTTCAAATCTGACCTCTGCATATCGACTTCCTCTGTCTAGGCAGTATCCCCACCCTCGGGTGGCACGGCAGTTGGGCACCGAGGGGATGCTACAGCTGAACAATTTTGTGCATATACGCCCAACTACCGGGTAACAATGGAAGCAGCTGTCTCAAGTGTATTTGACGTGATAATGCGCATGGACAAAAACAATGAATCCTTTCATTTATCAAGCTGGTATCCGGAAAATAGCATATTTTGAATTATAGTCAGTGACGAGTTTATGTCATACAACTGTACTCAGTCCGAAAACACGGCCACCTCAGGGAGTATTGAAAGACTTCTTTCGTAAACATCTTTTGTCATCCAATGAGCGACTTGTGCACTGAGACAAACTAGTTCCGCCCTATTATGCGCACTGGGAGGTAGTGAATCAACCCGATTAAACTGTTCCAGTAACTAGCTGTGGCGAGAGAGACTTGAGAGTTTCATCAAAGAGTTGCTCGCGAGTGTTATGGTATGGTTTCAAATGGACGACCCAGCTATCGATGACTGTGGCACTGACGTGATCGATTTCAGGTTTACGCCTTGTACCTACTTCCGCAGAAGTGTGCGGCAAGTAGAACTGCTTTTGCAATTTGTGAGGAGGAACCGTTTGCAGGTATCCGGACTTGATTTTCCGTATCTACTGTCGTATATTATAGCCACTTTGTTTTCAACCGGGCTCCAGCTTACCAAAAGCACAACTCCTAACCCACCACTAGCAAGTGAGGACGGATCTTTCTAGAAGTTATTCATCAATTTTCTTAAATGGCTGTCAAACGCCACATGTGCTCCAAAATAAAACCACTGAATTTGTTTGCCGACCTGGCTACAAAAACGTCACAGT